TGTGTGTGTGTGTGTGTGTCTACATCTATACAATAAAATATAGAGAAGTAGATTTAGGTACAAATAGGTAAAGATGGAGATTGATCTATCTAAAAAAGTGCATTTCAAGCTTGTAAGTGGCCCAGTTAACTGCAGTCATTTTGAAGAAAAAAACTTGTTTCACAGCAGCTAAAACTCTGAGTTTTATGACAACTTAAGCTACAAAATGTTCCAGTGTGTGTGCTGTGAGTCCAGTGCATGCAGGGAGTGAGAAAAGTCTCCTGTTACTTTTAAAGGTTTAATTATGAACCACATCATAATCTTTCAGCAAATACCTCACAGCAAGTTTTATTTATACATCCAAAAACGAAAACAAAAAAAGATCAAATTTCTCACACTATATACAGATATTACATACAGTGTTTGTACACATATTACATCATTTGTACACAAGAAAAATATACATAAAAATGTAAACTTTCGTATACAAAAAATACCTTAGACAAATCAAACAAGGACCAATAACAAAAGGTGACTAGATTAGCTCGTCCTATCTTTAAAAACGGTAATACAGTACATTCAATGAGAATAGGAATTTGTCAGGCGTCTCTGAAGTCGAGCAGTTACACGATGTGCCTAYGAGCCCTGTGGGTTTTGTTCTGTGTGGTCTGTCGGGAACTGGTGCAGCGACTAATCTCGTGGTTCCAGTAGTATGTCCAAACCTCAACCATCCTGATTTTGTTTTTCCTGTAAGTGACAAAGCYGCAGTAAAACAAAACAAGCGGTTTGTGATGAAGCAAAAGTTTTAAGCTTCAAACTGAATTCTTATATAAAAGAAAAATCTGGGTCTGCTCACAGCTGGAAATGGGCGTTAATCATTTGTAATCATGGCAACTGTGTATGTGATGAGTCAAGTAAATAAAAGCTAAACAAAAAAAAAGAAATTTAGGGGAAAAACGAAAAGCTTGTTTCAGCCACTTCTGTGCAAAACTTGTTGAAACATTTCATCGATCTGTTCTTCCTCAACGTAATGCATAAAAAACAAGCCATGATCTCGTAACAAAAAGGTTGCTGCAGCAACTTCCTGTAGCTTAACAGCAATCAAAATCATTCTCCAAAGACAAAACATACACCGATCACCTCCAAAAAAAAAAAAAAAAAAAAAAAAAACTGAGTAGTCTGCAGGTGTAATGCAGAGTCATTTTTTTAAGAAGTTCGCTCCACAAGACACAAACTCTACTGATTACATTGCAAATAATTTGAAATGAAGAGCTCACCAACAAAACCCCCAAGATAGAAGCTTCTAATCTATATCGCTAATATTCATCAATGTTGTTATTCTGTCTAATTATCTGTTTATTAAAAACCTGTGAGTTCACAGACAGTTGAAGGAGGGCTCTTGGTTCCTAAAACTATCCCCAAACCCAGCATCAAGTAGCTTAAAATCACTTTGAGTAAAATAGACAGTGCTTTACTTTAGACGTGCAAAATAAGACCACTGTTACACCATCATGGGGTCGCCTAGCAAAATTGTGTTTTTTTCTAATTGGCTGCCCAATCCTTCTGTGTAATCTTAAAGCTGGACTTCTTTGAGACCTGGAAGCCACTGAAGACCATTGTACGTGTGGACCAGAGAGCACCCATGAGAGTAGACACTTAAAAGTCCCTGCATTAACGGCCACCATCCTCACCTGTAACACTGAAACTCAACATTAGTCGACTCGTGAGAGAGGAAGATGGGCCGAGTGAAACTGGTAAAAAAAATAAATAAATCAATGCAGCTGGTTTCAGAGTGAAAGCTACACGCAACGACTAAAATACCTCGAGATGCTTAAGTGAGAATAATGTATTTATTGCTTTAAGAAACTAGTTTGTTTTATTAACCTTCCAAGTGAGCCACTCAGAGTGCCACGACCAACGCTGAGGTCAGAGATTTTGACGTCCGAGCAAATGAATAAAATGAGCACATACACAATATACACGATATAAAAACAGCTGTTTAAAATGTTTTGTTTTTTTTTGGTAAATTTATACGACTGTGAAATCTGATTCAATATGACGTTAAATAGCGTGAAACATAATGGGTTACACAAACATCACAATGTGCACTCTTTTTTTCGCAGTGTATAAAACAAGGGAAACGATTTAATGGTTAGCTGAGGAAGGCAGGGTACAAAGTGATCGTTTTAGGACAGGGCTGAAAGTGACAGCTCAGGTCTTTTGAAGTGGGGTTTTGGAGAATGTTACGAATGGTTGCTATCTTACCTGTTGCAGATAGCTCTTAGAGTGACCACAGTTTAGAAAAACTGTTCTAATGGGAACATGGCTGCCATTTAAAACTCCAATCTCTACATTTCTATAATGGCCTACGCAAACACTAATTTGTGAACTTTTACATTGTCAGTTTCATGTAACACATGATTTATTAGCCGTTTGCAAGCACAGCTAACTGTAGCACTTCCTGTACAGTTTGGAGAACTTTCAGGGGTAACTTCATAACATTTCTTAAGGAATAACTGCATAATATGAAACTGACTGTGACATTAAGGTGTATTAATTATGTTTGTAAGAACTGTTTTAATACAGCAGAGATCCAGTCAGTTGAGCCATTACCTCCTAAATCGAACCAGAATTAAACTGTTTCTTTAAAGAGCCATCTACAACAGGTCAGACATTACTTGTTCACAAAAACCCACTTCAAACGTTTTAAGCTATCACTTTAAAACGGCAAACAAAACTGATTGCCAGACGAGGCTTCTATGAATTCTGAGTACTGTTAAATAATCTCTATTAAGGTCCTTCACCCGTTTTTTTTTTTTTTTAATTCTTTAGCAAATAATCTGAGTATGAACCCCTGCTAACAAAACCACAGGGCATTAAACAAGTGGACTCACAATTACTTAAAATCTCAGACACTATCTGGCTATGAAAGTGGGAGGGAAAAATGGAAAATATTAATCTGACTTTGTGCAAATTCATAATTAAATAGTGCACTATAACCACATTGCACAGATGAAGCAGAAGCAGAGGGTGAAGCCCGTCCTCTGGACTGTAAGTGACTGTGAGCCCACAGACAGTCGCGCAGCCGCTGCACCCAACCTGATCTCATTTACTTTGCGTGAAGGGTGGTGTGACGTTGTTGGCACTTGCAGCGGTGGCACTAACTAAAGAGAAGCCAGCGGGGGGCGCTGTGGAACTGTGGCTGGGCTGCACGTCTTTCGGGATGCCGCTTTGGGAGGCCAGTTGATGGCCGAAGGCCGCGCTGAACTGAGGCAGCTGCTGTTTGGGCTGCGCGGAGGCCAGCAGGTCGTGTGTGGAGGACGAGAGCGAAGACGAGGGGACGGGGGGGCTCGTTAAACCCGTCATGGCGCTCTGCGGCATCGCCGAGAGCGCCGCCGCGGGCTGCAGCGTCACAGAGTGAGTGGTGGAGGGCGGCGTGGACAGGGAGGTGGAAACGAGGTGATTCTCGGACCTTATGAGGTTGCCAAAGTGCGAGGGATCGGTGAGGGCGAGGGGGAGGTTGTTCCATGTTGAGCGTGGGGGCATCGGGATCCTGCTGAGAGGGGCTTCCAGCAGGAGAGGGGTGTCTGTCTGGAAGGGCGTGGCGTGGGGGGAGGATATGTGGTCGCTGTAAGGAGATGGCACATGCTCACTGCTGTAGTGGCTGCCTTTGGGAGACGAGGCGGGCACGTCCGACTTCGCCATGACGAGGGCCGTGTGTGTCCGAGAGAAGCTCCGCTCTGTTATGGAGCTCTGAGCGAGCAGGGAGATGCTGGTGGTGGCCGCTACAGAAGGAGAGGTCAGGTTAGTGCACGACGATGGGGGCTGGTTAGGTGGTTGAGATGGCGGCGATGGGGAGAAGTGATCCCCGGTGGACTGCAGCAGATTTTCCTCCAGCTCCAGGCTGGTGAAGTTCTCTGTATGGATGCGGCTGTTGAGCAGGTCCCCCATGCTGCCTGTTTGGACCGGTCCAGGAAAAGCAGTCATGGCTCGGTGGTCCACTCCTTCAACGGTGGCCAAGTCCCCTATAGACGTCAGACACACCAACGAGTCTGGGTAGGACCCCATCGCTTGCAGTGCACGCACCAGCTCTTCGGCCTCTTCGGTGGTGGGCAGCAGCTCTCCGTTCTTACCTGAAAAATAAAACAATTATTAACACAAAGTGTCAGACGTCTCTTCGTTTGTAGCCTTCATGAGAAAATTTGCTTTCAAATCACCTTCAAATAAGTCAAAGTCCTGCAGATCATCAGGTAGTCTTGGCAGCACGTCAGAGAAATCCTCCTGGTTCAGTTCGAGGTCGTTTGGAATGTCTGCCATGTCGTTGGTGATGTCATCAGGAAGCTCCTCGGCACTCAGGTCGGGCGTTGAAGGGCTCCTGCCACGACGATGAAATGAACCAAAAAGCCTTAGAGAAAAGAAGCACGCTGTCGCAGAAAACTGCAACGACACAGAGGCGAGGCAGACCTGATGTGGGCCTGTGAGGGCATGACGAGGTTTGTTGAAGGCATTCCCAGGTTCCCCTGCGGCAGCGCTGGTGGGATGGGTTTCTGTGGCCTTCGTGGCCCTCTCCTCCTTTTCTTCTTGTGTTTTTTGGTGAGTGCCGGTGGTTTGGTCTTTTTACGTGGCTTTCTCTGCTGCTGCTGGTGGTGGTGGTGGTGCTGCACGCGTCGGTTTCCATCCCCACGCAGAAAATTGTCCTGCAGAAAAAAAAAAGAGAAATTAAAACAAACAAATCAAGTCACAGGAACCATAAAGGGTTGAATAACATTTGTTTAGGAACTAGGAAATGTATATGATCAGGAGTTGCTGCAGGCAGGGTTCGACAAATCCTATTGCCCGACTGCCCGGGGCAGGTAAAACCCATTGTCAGGCAGGTGGGTGTGTCCCAATGCCTGCCCGACCGGGCAGGTAAACAATTTCTTTTATTTTTTTTATATAGGACCATTTATTCAAAATATTGTGAAAATGAAGAAATATGGCGTTTTAAAACACGTAAAGAGAGAATAAATAGTCAAAATGTCCCCTTACTGCTGCAGAAAAGTTACATCTTGCCGTCGTGTCGCAGGATCACAAGTTCCTCCCTCCTTCCTGCTGCACGTCGCGCAGAGAGAAGGTTTAACAACCATAGCTTTTCTCACACCCGTGTTTTCGGAGGAAAAAAATGTTTTTTTATGTATTGTTACCCGCAGAGATGAAAAACATATGTGGACGTTCGTTCAGTCAAAAATCCATCTCGCTAATGTCGGCTTCTGCTCTGACGAAGATGATGATGAAGATGAGAGCACAGCAGCAGCGGGTCAGAAGCTCATGGTATGGCAGGTCGATCTATCATTTATTTGGCTTCACGACACTTATATTATAGTTATCTGAAATTGTTTTATGACTAAATTAGACATATTAGTGATTTAGGATAAAATAATAAAATGTTTTCTTTTATTATTTTGTTTTATTTACCTTTTTTTTAATTTGGAGAACTTTCCAGTTTGAGATTGATTGTTTAAGTTGTTTTTTGAAAATAAGGGGCAAATATGATAAAGTTTTTTTTACTTCACTCTGCACCCTTTTACTTCAGGGTATGATTTACTTTGGGGTTTTTTAATGCTAAACATAGATGGTTTTGTTTTTATGAATGAAAGAAAGAAACAAATAAATAGACATCTCTTAATATATTTTGACAATTCAAAATACCTATTTAAGATAACTCTAATTATATTCTGACTTGTATAAATAACATTAGATTTATCATCATGTTGTATGGAGACTCCAGTTCAAGATATCTTAAATGTATCTTTGGATATGAGATTCACTATATAAGATTTAATTAACGCAAATTTCAGACTTTTTCATGTTCTGTAAATTGTATTTAAAACAAAGCTGCTGCTGTTGATCATTCTGTTTTCATAAACCCCCGCCCCCAAGGCCAGTACTCTATGGAAACACTTTTTTGAAGATGTTCTTGATAACACAATTGACTGTTAGTAACTCAGTCTAAAATGTTTGCATCTGTTTAATCAGATGTCATATGTTATATAACTCTGTATAACCATGTTAATATTTTTGTAGTACAAAGTACAGTACACGTTTTTCTTATTTTATCAAAATTTGAACATTTTTGTTTCGGGCAGATAACTTTTCATGTCGGGCAGGTAAAAATTAAAATCTTGTCGAACCCTGGCTGCAGGGCAGATTTTGTTGTTTGGACAGAGCTAGAACTTTTGTTTTTCTACTCTCCACTAAAATGAGCATTCAGCACACAGGAGCGTGCCAAAAAGCTTCTCATCATGAGAGAGTAATAGGCTGTCGCTTGAACTCCTCTAACTTTCCCATTAGCCACTGAACTCACCATCTTTTTGGCATGCTCTTCACAGAGGGGAGTCTGGTGCGTAATATCAAACACAGGGACAGAGCACTGTTGACCATCTGCAAATTTGGCTGTGCAACTAGCAAAGAGCTGCTGTGAACGGTTCAACAGGATGTCTATAGAAAAGAGTTAAGGCAAAAACACATCATTTACTGGACAACGACATGCAATCGTGGCAGTACGAAATATTCCTGATCAGATAACAGAATTAAAGCCACAGTTCTGAACTTGTTGAGCCAAGCTTCACACCAAGTGTTTGCGGTGCAAAGGATACGCTGAAAGCAGTGTTTAGTGAAGGGCAGAGCTTTGTTGTTGCAAAGCTGACCCTTTGTGCTGCCAGTGCAGGTCAGTGGATCTGTGCTCTGCGGCCTTGCTGGAGTCGGACTGCAAAGACAAAAACATCAACATAAACTCCCATTTGACATTTGGTGTGGCAGAAACTGAATACAACAAAGCTAAATGAAAAGAACCATTGTTCTTTCTGGTTCCATACATAGAAAAACTAAGTAGGTTTATAGAATTAAGTTGAAGAATACCATGAGGCACCACTTAGCTCCTGGATCAGCTGCCCTGCACAGTCTGGGTTGTTGCCGGCAGCGTGCAGCAAGGCTTTGCGGAAGGCATAACGGTATCTCTTCTGGCGGATACTCGCCCTCTCCTGTCTGCACATGTGCTTGTATTTTTCCTGAAGGTACGAGCAGAGCCTCAGTAGCCGCGATCGCCGCGAGGAACCACGGTCGTCTTCCAAGCTACAGCAGAAACACAGGAGGGTCATTGTAAGACAGCTGAAAGACAAAACTGTGCAGCTGAACATAAAGATACAAACCCATTCGCTGGTCTCCATGAACTCTGAAAAGGAGAAAATCTCTCTGCCCGCTCTTCTTCATCGTCACCGTCAGCACTGTCTTCTGACCAATCCAAACCTGGAAGGTTAGCGGTTTAGAGCAGCTGATCTGTCTCAATGTACCTTTAAACTCTAAAACTGTCAATACATAGCCCTTTAAATGTGGAAAGCAAAGCAAAACTTTTGAAAAACTGCTGCTAAGTCAAATAAAATGAATCACCTAGATGAGGAAAGAGGTCTCCATGCTCTCGGTGTCTCTTGGCACAGAGCTGCACCAGGTGTTGCAACCTGGCAAGGCAGTTGGCAGAAGGTGAGAAGGCCGTGGGACGCATGACGACCACACGCTGCTGATTGTTACTGCCACCATCCTTGCATTTGACAGGCAGTTCAGTAGCGGTAAAAGGCATTTTCCTGCTGAGTGATGGTCCAGAATGTTGCCCTGGACTGGGCGCTGCGTTGGCAGGCATTCCTGGAGGCAGAAAGTTGACCGTCTGAGGTGGTGGTGGATTGCATAATAAACCCTGCTGCTGTCCTGGGAAAGGGAAAGAAGTCCCGCTGGAGTGTTGAGACTGCTGGAGAAGACCTGATGTCTGCCGCGGTAGGTGAGTGTTGAGCGGTGACGACGATGCGTGGACACGGGAAACGGGGGAGGCTGTAAAGTGCTCAGGAGTTGGCTGGAAGAGTTCTGTGTCGCGGCAGAGTTTTTGGTTGAGCACCAGCCGATTCTGTAGTTTCTTCTTGATGTTATTGCCCTTCCGAGGAGCGCCCATCTCTTCCCCATCTGTGTCATCCTCATAAAAGGCAAAGGGGTCCAGGAGTTCCACGTCGGGGAGGGGTAACAGACGTGTACAGGGAGGAGATGGTGGTAGTTCATCTATTCCATTGGGAGCTCTCAAGGCTAAAGAGGGCACAGTTATATTGAGAGCTACTGACTCCAGGTGCGCTCGCGGTCGCATTTCTTCCAAAGCGTCGTGTTTCTTCTTGCGTTCCTTCTTAGGTATAAATCCGAGAACCTGCAGATGGCTGTTGCAATATCTGGAAAACAAGAACATATCCCCAGAATGTTAAAAGAAAACCATAACTTTTATATATTTAAATAGTCAGATCCGCCACACATTCTCACAATCACACACACCTGCGGTCCTCAGATTTGGGTATGGGGTTGGTACATCGCTGGCTGTTGTACTTTGCCACATATTCACATTGCTTGAAGGGAGCCGTCTTATCCTCCAGAACRTGCCGAATGCAGAATGCATAGCCATTTAGTCTGCGCTGCTTGCACAGCTTCGGACTATACGAGCACAGCGGCTTATTGTCCACCTCTGAGAAGTGTATGTGTTTGCCTTCATACATTACGTGACTCTTGTTCTTGACATCAGCTGATGAGATAAAGAGAAAAAAATAATGATAACTGTTGCAAGACAACTATGATTACCCGTAAGAGATATAGGAAGTTAGTCACTTCCTACACAAGTCTGCCCTTTGCATACAGTGCTGCTAAAAAGTATTTACCCTCTCTTGTATGTTTGCTTTTATTTCTGTCATGCATCAAACACCGTGATTAATATAATTGACTTTTTGACAAAAATAGTTTAGTAATAGTTCATATCTGAAACTTATGATTCGAAGAAATATATTGTGAAAAACATTACCTCAGACAGCTAATACCTTATGAACATAGAGTAATAGGAAGAGTAAATTGTTTTATACCATGTCAAATTTTTTAAATTACCCTTTTTTTATTTTTTTGGTAGAACCGGGCAAAGAGCAACCATCAGGACCAACATTAGCTACATTAGCTTGGCGATCGATAAAACGACTAAAACTTTAACTAAGGTGAACAAAAGTATAATACCCGGCAACTACTCATGCCCTAGCCTAGAAGACATCATTTTACGTGTTTATAATAATATAAGCATATTATTTAGAAGAGTCAAACATTAAAACTCACGTTTGCTAGTTAGCCACAAAGCTAAAAACACAAATTTGGTAGGCGGTAGCGCACCAGGAAACGGAAATAACAAATGGTACGTGGGTCTGCCTCTTAACGTTTTGCCGGTGCCTGGCTTGGCTAGAATTGACGACGAGCGGGAAGTTTATATGTATCTTATCATACTAAGATCTGTTTATTTAATTTAATATTTTTAAACATTTTGATATTATGATCAACATAGCCGTGTTTTGTTGGTGCCAGCAGTATAACTGAAGTGGGTGTGTGCGGTTCTTATAACTGTTCCATTAAATGATGTACAAAGTTCGTCTACTAGTTGCACCGGTGCATAAATGGTGCGGAACCATTACAGCGCTCTATTTTCACTTTAGTTTTATTTTGAAAAAAAAAATCACCAAATTAATAAACTAGTGATAATTAATCGRCCCATGTATAAAACCATTTATATAATTCGACATTATACTTCTGCTGAAATACTTTCGAACAAAGGGTAAATATGCGAGGCCTGTTTTTCAAGCCAGGCCTTCGCAGTAATCGATATGAATTATAGACATTATTGTTACATAATTATGGGTACTTTGCAGACAACGGGAGATTATATTGTTAATTTTGCGCGATTGTCCAAAGCTATGTGAGGTACAGAAAAAAATGGTGTTAACAAAATGAGGAATTAAAAAAAAAATTAAGGCCTAATAACTTCGATTGGACGGCGGCCTCTGGTAGTCTAGGTCCCAACTAGGGTCTGCGCAGAGCGACGCAGGCGGAAATCGACGTCGAGGCTGTTCACGACTCCGTCTTACCTTGAACGGGTTGGGGCTGCGCACGGTAATCGCTCCAGATTAGACGGCCGAAAATGTCTATTAGAATCAGCTAGGCTATTTGAGCATCGATATTCCAGCCAGGAGGGTAACGGTGGTCTTCATCGAGTTCGGATTCTCTTGAAATAAGGACGAATGTAAATAAACGCTATCCAGAGCAAATTACAAGCAGTAGGTTGGCTGCTGGGGACATTTGTTGGATCCACAGCAGACTCCTCACAGCACCACTACAGGCACTGCGGGGACATGACAACAGCCCGCTCAACAACAACAACCTCTGCTACCATATTGGAAATTCAACTTTCTTAAAAGCCATAACCGTGCACATTTATTATGAATATATCTTTCTGAAACAAATGACAGTCTGTGTGTGGGAAAAGGGCCGGTCATGTGTTACACGTTTTTAAAAATAAAGCGGCTTTAAAGGTCCAGGAAAGTCTTGAAGTGTGCAATCCACCTGGACCACAGCGTCCACATGAATGAGTTATCAGCCCCGCTATCCGCTGCTCACAAATCATACACCCGAGTGTCAATCACACACACAGCCTCCATCTGGAAAAGTTAGGCAAGTGTCACGCTAAATAACTAAAATCATTTTCATTTAACTCCATTTTAAAAAGGTGCAAAATTAAACTCTAGGTTTCTAAAGATATGTTAGACCTGCAATATATTTTTACATAAATTTATCTTTAGACTTGAAAAACTATACCTTCTTACACTTAATTCAAAATATAAATTTAATTAAAATGTTTGCATAACAATCAATCTAATTGTTATTATATAATTTACAACAATGGCTACTTTGTTCAGTAATAAAAATGAATAAAAACAACAATAACAGTGTGCTCAAAGCAGTTTTAAACGTCTCTTAGCTTGAACAAAAATAGGTAACGTAACAGCAATTAACAGGAAAACAAAATTTAAATGTTAAAAATTAGTATTTCGTATATTTCGTCACAAACAAAAGGTGCATTTCAGGATATTTTTTAATATCAAATCAGATAATTCACTCTGAAAGGTGCCAGTGTTTTTGCAGGTATCACTGAGGTATATTGTACTATAAAATGACTGCTGCAGTTAAACCTATGTGCAAATGCAGTATTTTTTAATGTTTTCAAGAGGCAGTATTGTGTATTTTTTAGGCGCACATATATGGAGGTAAATTTGTGTTTTTATGATTCAATCAAACAAAAAGCATCTTCAATCAAAAATAATAATTTCAATCAAAAATAATTTTTCAACCAAAAAAAATATACATACAGTATTTAAGAAAATGTATAATTTACTGTCTAAGTAACAATGATCTAAACCAGAGCTGACATCATCATCATCATCGTTGTCGTTTATTTATAAAGCACAATAAAAACCAAAGTGCTGTACAGGTGCATAAAATAAAAACAATGAACAAAGTACAGYAATAAAATGAACAATAAAATCAAACAAAACAGCAAAGGCTGGCCTAATGACATCAGCCAATAACTGATTTTTTTTAGCTAATTGAATAATTGTGATTTCAACTAGTAACAAAGTATATTATTCATTACCTGTTGTAATTATAAACATTTATCAGTTGACACTTAGAAAATGTTSACTGCATACTCAATATTTCTCACAGTCAAACAGCCATGTACTTTGACACATGACTATGTTATATACAGAGGCTGACATGTTGGTTTGGAAGAAAAGAGGAGTTCCTCTATGGAGAAAATAGGAAATGTGATAAAAAATAAAAAATAGGAAAAATGGTAAAAAAATAAAAATAAAAAATAAGTTGCTGCAAAGGCTGAACTTCTGACATAAAAAGCATCCAGAGAGAAAATATTAATATTTTGCAAGTGCAAGAGCGAAAAGGGAGAGATGTTAAGAGACTGTTGTGGAAATGTTCATTTAACAAGAACAGAAATATGTGATTCAAAGAATAAAGGCACTTCTTAAAATAGTTGCCTGGATTTGATTTTTGCAATAAACTGGAACACAAARTACCACAGAGCCATCGGGCTGTCTGTGTCAAAATGTGTGCTGACAGGCAGTTCTAATGGCTAACTCTTTATACTGTTTCAACATCTCTTTTCAATAAACGACCTCATTTCAGGCCCTGGGTCAAGATAAGAAAATAACTGATAAATTACTGCATGTCCTGACCAAAAACAACAAAAAATTATACTCTGCTGATAAACAAAAGTACTGAGTATAACAGTGACGTAAGAACAGATCAAATGTATCACAAGATTACTTCTTGCTTTGGACAATATTTGAAAAAACTAAATAATTCACCACAGTCTGACAGCTCAAACTCAGAGCACGTTGATCGACTTGGAAAATAAACCAGTCAGCTGTGGAGATTTAAAATACAGTTTCAGACGATGCTATTGTGACAGAGATCAGAGATGTTTTTTTAAAAAAAATATTCAGGTGACAGCTTAAAATTTACCACTTTCTCAGAAGAACTTCAGATTTTGAAAGAGGTTCAGAATTTCCTGGACACAGTGTATCTCTGTGAATCTGACAGATCTCCTGAAAAAAAAAATTCAACTAAAATCTGTTTCAACATGGGACATGTAATTGAAAAATTGGGAAATCTTATCAGATCCAATAAACTCTTTGAAAATAAACAATTGATCAAATTTGCCACAAACAAAATTACAGAAATAAAGGATAAAATGAAGAGTTGTGGTAAAAAAAATGCATTTCAAGTGAGTTTAGGTTCTAAAGGGCCATCAGAACTTGAAGGATCTGTTCTATTAATCACTGACAGCAAAGAAAATTATGATCTGGACTATAAATCAGTCCATCAACTAAGTGAAAAATATATATACAATCAATCTGTTATGGACAGCAAAAAACCTCCAAACTTTTCAAAGGAACTCACATGAATTAATTAAATATGTGATGAAAAACATGTTACGTACGTTTTATTAAAATTATTTTTCTGACAGTCAGGCCATGCTATTTTCCCCCTCAACGTCTCTATTACAACACAGAAATTGAGGCCAGAAGATTCTTGGCCTTACTCTCCAGAGCAGACCAAATTAAACCTCAGAGTTTTAACGATGAAGTTTACAGTGCTCTGAACAACGTCAAAGATGTCTTTAAAAAAGCTGTGAACTCTCTGCAGTTTCATGCCCACCACAAGCAGCTGTTTGTGAGTCACCAACACCCTCCTACTCGATGGTTGTTCTCTGACTGTTGGAGATGACCTCCCAGCTCCAAGCCCCCAGAATGAGCCCTTCATCGTCCGAGCTGAAAATTTACAACCTACTGTCAGCAAAAGCTTTGACAAGACACCAATCGAACAGTGGCACCTACTGGCAGAGAAGCTTTCTGATTCAGAGACACGAGCCACCAATGCTGACAGGAACTATTCAGTCAGTTTCTGTGGATGTTTTAAAATAATTTCCTCCAAAAATTCAGAAACTGATTCACGTAACTCCTTCACACATCCAGCTGGAAAATGCTTTAAAGGAATGCATCTTTCACCTTAAAAACACAGAAAAACATACCTGTACTGAAAACCTGACAGAATATACTAAAATTTGATTTTTTTAATGAAAACATCAAATATTCTGTAAGAAATTTCATGCTATTGTTGTCAATGCATCTGTGTCAGATTTATGCACATTTTACAGGATGGTCCAGCATTTAACTTAACGTGTTCAAAGATGTTTCTGTCACATTCATCTGTCTTATATGGACAGTGTTTCTAAACACACAGAAATCCATCGCAGTARTATGGTTTTATAATCAACTGGAGAAAAAAATTTTTTTTCACTTTACCTGATTTTATTGTGTACATCGGTCCCATATAATAAAATAAGTATGGCTGGCTCAATTTCCCTCTTTAAAATTATGTTGAATATATACTATTTATATGTTACCATAATATCAATGTATTAGATAACATCAATATGTTTTTTATGTTACAGCAACCACATATTAAAGTTTAACATCACCTTATTTTTGATTGCCATATTACTCAATGATACAGTCGGTAAAATACAGGTGCTGGTCATAAAATCAGAATATCATGAAAAAGTAGATTTATTTCAGTAATTCCATTTAAAAAGTGAAACTTGTATATTATATTCATACA